TATGCATTCTGGTTGCTTCTGGGATTTGGCTATTACCTACCATGCTGCAGAAACACCCTTGTGATTAACCCTTCGTGTTCTTGGGTAAAATATATTTATAAGAGAAGTCCGGGAAGTGAAACCACTGCATCATCTAATATTTGGTAGTATTGCCAAATTACTTCCCATTGTTTTACTTCACCAGTGTGTTCTCCCCTTGCCTACGTATGAGAATGAGGAAGTAGCCCAGAAAGGGGAAACTCGTCCCAGATAAAAACAGAGTGTGAGCAGAGACACTGACCTGTGTGTTTTGTGAAATTGTCTAGCTCGTCTTTGTTCAGCAAATATTTATTGTGCCCTTCCTGAGTGCGTTTGGAGAATGGAGACAGTCATGGCGAACACACAGACATGGGCCATGCCTTCACGGGGCAGACAGTCTGTGGAGAGAGGCGTTAATGAAGTAAACACACAGAGTGAAAATGTAACAACAATGTGCAGTAAATGCTATCAGGCGAGAAAATGGAGTGCTGTGGGAGGGAGTAACGGAGGCTTTCTTTAGAGAGGGTGGTCAGGAGAGGAACTTCTGGGGAAGAGACGTTGTTACGCTGAAAACAGAAGTTAAGAGTAGAAATTAAGAGAAGAGTTGAGGGGAATAAGGCTATTTCCTGGCCCCTAAAGAAGTTGGGGGAACCTGGGTGGCTCAGTTGGTTAAGCGACTGCCTTTGGCTCAGGTCATGATCCTGGAGTCCCTGGATCGAGTCCCTGGATCGAGTCCCTGGATCGAGTCCCTGGATCGAGTCCCTGGATCGAGTCCCACATCGGGCTCCCTGCTCGGCGGGGAGTCTGCTTCTCCCTCTGACCCTCCCCCATCTTGAACTCTCTCTTTCTCCTTCTCGCTCAATCAAAAAAAAAAAAAAAGTTGGAGCGATAGGTGGGGCCAAGGCCCTAGAGCCTTTTTGGGGTTTTTTGGCCCTAGAGCCTTTTTGGGTTTTTTTGGCCCTAGAGCCTTTTGGGGTTTTTTTGGCCCTAGAGCCTTTTTGGGGTTTTTTGGCCCTAGAGCCTTTTTGGGGTTTTTTGGCCCTAGAGCCTTTTTGGGGTTTTTTGGCCCTAGAGCCTTTTTGGGGTTTTTTGGCCCTAGAGCCTTTTTGGGGTTTTTTGGCCCTAGAGCCTTTTTGGGGTTTTTTGGCCCTAGAGCCTTTTTGGGGTTTTTTGGCCCTAGAGCCTTTTGGGGGTTTTTTGGCCCTAGAGCCTTTTGGGGGTTTTTTGGCCCTAGAGCCTTTTGGGGGTTTTTTGGCCCTAGAGCCTTTTGGGGGTTTTTTGGCCCTAGAGCCTTTTGGGGGTTTTTTGGCCCTAGAGCCTTTTTGGGGTTTTTTGGCCCTAGAGCCTTTTGAAGCACTGAAGGGTTTAAGTGACGTGTTGATCTCGTTTACATTTTTGCAGATTCCCTTCTGCTATGTAGGAACTGGATTAAAGCAGGAACAAGAAGTAGGGAAACCAGTTAGGAGGCTGGCCTAAGGTGGTGTAGGAGGACCTATAGATCAAAAGAGTCTCCGAAGATGCATCGATCAACTGCCATGTGTGGACTTCATTTGGATCCTGACTTTTTTTTTTTTTACGATTTTACTTATTTATTTATTTGAGTGAGATAGAGCGAGTGTGCTCCCGGGCATGGTGGAGGGGAGAAGGGCAAGGCGAGGCAGAGGGACAGAATCTCAAGCGACTCTGTCCAAGCTGAGCACAGGGCCCCACGAAGAGCTCAGTTCCACCACCCTGAGATCCTGACCTGAGCGGAAACCAAGAGTCAGAGGCTCAACGGACTGCGCCACCCAGGCGCCCCTGGATCCTGAATTTTTTTAACTGTAAAAAAAAAAAAATCACAGCCATGAGACAATTAGAAATTTGAACACAGTATATTTGATATTAAGGAACTATTTTTATTTTATTTTATTTTATTTTTTTTAAAGATTTTGTTTATTTATTTGAGAGAGAGAATGAGATAGAGACAGAGAGAGCATGAGAGGGGGGAGGGTCAGAGGGAGAAGCAGACTCCCTGCTGAACAGGGAGCCTGATGTGGGACTCGATCCCGGGACTCCAGGATCATGACCTGAGCCGAAGGCAGTCGCTTAACCAACTGAGCCACTCAGGCACCCTAAGGAACTATTTTTAAAATTTTAGGTATTCTGTCAGGTTTCCCACTATCCCCACTCCTGGATTAAAGAGTTGGAAGTTATCTAGTAGATCATTTAGAAATGTAAACTAATATATTAATGAATGATATGATATACATAGCATTTTGTTATATTGCATTATAGTTTTTCCTATGCAGATATTACTGTGAAAGTATCTATACTTTCATAGTTGAGATCATACTTAAATCCAGTTGGTATTGGAACAATACCTTTTAAAAGTTTAAAGTAATATATAGTGTTGAGGGGACACGGGACAGTGATGCCACCATACTCCAAAGCAGGACGCTTTTGAGAGTAAAAGGTGACAACTGGAAACCTGAATTGTCCTAGCCAGGTGAAGTTGCTTGCCTTAATACTTTGATTGCCTTATTAGTTTTTCAAAGATTGCATCCTGACATGTTTATTCGTTTGATTTTCAGAGTGACAAAGACATACTCGGGAAATCATACTTGGGAGTAAGTTAAGCTCTGGCCATCTCTGAGAAATGCTCAGTTATCTCCTCCATAAAGTTTGGACTCCCTGCCCCCATCCCGAGTTGGATGGCACTCCCTGAGGCTCTGGGGCAGTGGTTATCAAAATGCTGGGGGTGGGCAATGCTGGGATTTTGTTCCTCCCCACACCCACCTACCAAGAGATATTTGGCAATGTCCGGAGACATTAGTGATTGCACAACTGGATCAGGGAGAGTGCTGCTAGAAGCTAGTGGGTAGAAGCTGGGAATACCACTCAGTACCCTACAGTACACAGGCTAGCCTCCCTACTCCCCCATCAAAGAATTATCAGGCCCCAAAAGTCAATGCTGTCATGGTTGTGAAAACTTGCTATAGGTACCTTTTTCACAGCACTTCATGAAGACAACTATAATTGTCAACAAGTTGGCCTTCCCAGCTAGACTGGCAGCTTCATGGGGACAGGTGATACATGTGTCTTCTTGGGTGTTTGGCATATAGTTGACACTTAATGAGCACTGAAGGAAGAGGGGCGCCTGGGGGGCTCAGTCAGTTAAGCTTCTGCCTTTGGCTCAGATCATGATCCCTAGGTCCTGGGATTGAGCCCCGCATCAGGGCTCCCTGCTCAGTGGGGAGTCTGCTTCTCCTTCTCCCCACCCCCTGCTTGTGCTCTCTCTTGCTTTCTCTCTCAAATAAATAAATAAAATATTAAAAAAAAAAAAAAGGTTTGAAGGAAGATGAGGAGGTACATCCAAACCAGATTCAAACTTAGGGCCCTGTGAGATCATGCTGCTTGATTTTTTTAATTAATTAATTTACTTACAGTGTTATACTATTTCCAGGTGTACAATATAATGATTCAACAATTCCATACATCACCTACTGCTCATCAGGACAAGTGCAGTCTTAATCCCCATCACCTATTTAATCCAAACCCCCACCCACCTCCCCTCTTGTAAACATCAGTTTGTTCTCTATAGTTAAGAGCCTGTTTCTTGATTTGCCTCCTTTTTTTTTCTTTGCTCTTTTGTTTTGTTTAAGTTACACATATGAGTGAAATCATATGGTATTTGTCTTTCTCGAGAACTGCTTGTTTTCTGAATAATTTCCCACCTCCCTTTGGGCACAGTAATCAGATAATAAGTATTGCATTCTCCAACATTTAACAAATGTTTACTAAGCACTTACTAAGTACTGTCAGTGTTTTAGGTACTGGGAATACAGCTATGAGCAAGGCAGAGTCCCTGCTCAAAGAAAGTTTAATCTCAGAGGGGAAGACAAACAATAATTAAGGAAACAAGATGGCTTCAGACAGTGATAATTATCACGGAGAAAATAAAAGTGGGGCACCTGGCTGGCTCAGTCAGCAGAGCATGCAACTCTATTTTTTATTTTTAAAGATTTTATTTATTTATCTGGGGGGGGGGACACTGGCGGTCGCCTGAGCAGGGGGGAGGGGCAGAGGGAGAGGGAGAAGGGGACTCCCCGCTGAGCAGGGAGCACAATGCAGTACTCCATCCCAGGCCCCTGGGATGGGGGGGGGGTGGTCAGGGGCAGACGCTTAACCCACTGAGCCACCCAGGTGCCGGAGCATGCAACTCTTGATCTTGGGGTCCTGAGCTCAAGCCCCACACTAGGTGTAGAGAGAAGGAAGGGAGGAAGGAAGGGAGGGAGGGAGGGGGGAAGGGGGAAGGGAGGGAGGGAGGGAGGAAGGAAGGGTAATACAATAGGAAATGATGGGGGCAAGATGGCATATTCTAGGTAGGCTGACCAGGTGACATTTGAACTAATTTTTTTTTTTAAGATTTTATTTATTTATTTGAGAGAGAGAATGAGAGAGAGCATGAGAGGGAAGAGGGTCAGAGGGAGAAGCCGACTCCCCACCGAGCAGGGAGCCCGATGCGGGACTCGATCCCGGGACTCCAGGATCATGACCTGAGCCGAAGGCAGTCGCCCAACCAACTGAGCCACCCAGGCGCCCCATTTGAACTAATTTTGAGAGCAAGCCATCCATGGGAAAGCTCCCAGCCAGGACAACTGCACTTGCAAAGACCCTGAGGTGGAAACAGTAGCCACTCAACGAAGACTTAAGGGGAGGGCGCCATCACTTACGCCATGGAAACAATCCGGAAGCATGATTTATGTTATTAAAAGATCACTCTGGCTTCTGTGGGAGAATGTATGAAATATCTATATTCCGAGTCTAAAATATTTGTCATAAAATAGTCACATTTTTCGGCTGTTCTTGTCAAATAGGAAACCTCCCAGATCCAGCAGGGGGCGCTGTAGGCGCCCGGTCGACAAATGTGACACTCAGCACTCTTTGGTTCTTTTCGAGGGCTGGGTCGCTTCCGGGAGCGGCCTCGTCGCCCGGCGCCTTCCTCTCTATCCGCCCCTCTCTGTGGTCACCGTGGGCCCGCCCTCTTAGGCTGACCTAGTGCTCCTTGGACTCTTCCCGCAGCCGACTCCGGGGTACGGGGCGAGGAGGGTGGAAGCCGGCACATGGCGGTCCCGGTGGCCGCGGCCGGGGCTGGCGCCAGGTGAGCAGGGCGGTGGGGAAGAGAGCCGGGCCTCTGGGTGCCCTCCCCGGGGCTGTGTGGCTTGAAGAGCCCCGGCCCCCGCGAAAGAGGAGCTCTGAAGGGGCGCCCACCCTCCCGCGATCCGAGGCAGCCTCCAGTACTCTGGCTGTGGGATCCCCCCCCCCGGAACTGGCTCCGCCCCCGCCCCCCCCCAAGAACTTCCAAGTGCACAGAATTGAGTTAATCGTCCTCAGTTCTTGGCACGCTGTGGTCCAGTGCAAGGCCCCTCTTGTGTTTTACTTTATTATGTTCCTTATTCTCAATCCCATTTCACCCCCCTTCTCAGGCCCCCACTCTGGTGTATTAAAAGAGTGTACAGCCCAGTTTACATAAGTCTTCGTATCTCTTACCTTGAAAGATAGTGGTTTTTGAATTCCTATAAATGACAATATGCTGTGATTTTTTTTGAAAAACCTTTTTACTCAACGTTGTGTTTTTGAGATCATACATTCAGTAGTAATCTAGTTTCTGAAGGCTGCATAATACCTACCCTGTGTACTTCGGACCGCATTTTACCTATATATTCCCCAAGTGATGGACACTTAGAATGCTTCCAGTTTTTAACCACCTCAAATATACTGGAACTTGTCTCCTTGTGAATATGGGTAATATTTTTCTGGATTACCCACCCCAGGGTAGGATGCTAGATCATAACTAATTCTGCGGAATTGTTTTCTGGAATGGGCACATGAGTTTATACTTCCCAACAGCATTGCATAAAGGTTCTGGCTTCCCCACATCCTTGGAATGTTTGGTATTGTTTGGTTTTCTGATGTTTATCAATCTGATGGGTTGGAAGGTGGCATCCCGTTGTGTTTTCATGTATTAAGCATTTGGGTTTCCCCTTTTCTGAATAGCCTACCTTTTCCCACTTTCTATGGATTTCCTATCTTCCTGACTTGCAGGAATTCCTTGTATGCTCTAGATTTTAATGTCTTGTTGGTTTTACACTCTTCACATACCTTCCACAGTTCTTTTAATTTAATCTATGGCACTGTATTGAGCAAAAATAAATTAAGTCCATTAGTTTTCCCCTTTATCAAAATTTGTGGGTTTGGGTCTTATTTGAGGAATATCTTCCCACTATATCTTCATTAAGATACTCTTCTTCCTTTTCTTCTATTAACTAAATAGAATTTCACATTAGATTTTTAATCCATTTGGAGTTTTAAATTTTTATCTAAGTGATTTGAGGTAATGACCTTAATTTTCCTTCACCATTTTCAGTTAATAACTAATGAATTAATAATTAAAAATTGGAGGGGCGCCTGGGTGGCTCAGTCGTTAAGCGTCCGCCTGCCTTCAGCTCAGGTCATGATCCCAGGGTCCTGGGATCGAGCCCCACAGAGCCCCACATCGGGCTCCCTGCTCTTTTTGGTCTCTGTCCCGTTGGTCTTTTTGTTTCTATATTAAAACACAGTTTTGGGGCACCTGGGTGGCTCAGTCGTTAAACATCTGCCTTCGGCTCAGGTCATGATCCCAGAGTCCTGGGATCAAGCCCGCATCAGGCTCCCTGCTCGACAGGAAGCCTCCTTCTCCTGCTCCCACTCCCCCTGCTTGTGTTCCCTCTCTTGCTGTGTCTCTCTCTCAAATAAATAAATAAAATCTTAAAAAAAATAAAATAAAACCACAGCCCTGCATTATGATTTGTCTTTTTTTTTTTTTTCTTAGAGAGAAGGGTGTGTGAGCACGCGCAAGTTTGGGTTAGAGGGAGAGGAAGAGAGAGAATTTTAAGCAGGCTCCATGCTCAGCACGGAGTCTGACACAGGACTCAGTCTCACGACTCTGAGATCAAGACCTGAGCCGAAATCAAGAGTCGGATGCCCAACCGACTGAGCCGCCCAGGCGCCCCTGATTTGTCTTAATAACTGATGGTTTGGGTCTCCAATTCCTCCTTTCCTATTTTTCACAGTTGCCCTCAGCTGTTCATGGGCCTTTATATTTCCACATAAAGTTCCTCAGAGAAGTTCTGCTTGTGATTGGTATTATATTGAATTTATAGACTACTTTTGTTAGAAATGAGGTCTTTATAATGTTAAGTCATGCCAGCTCTATTTAAGTCTTCTTTCACATCTATAATAGAGCTTTCGTTTTTCTTTTAAAATGTCTCATCCTGGGGCGACTGGCTCGCTCAGTCGGTAGAGCTTGCAACTCTTGATCTTGGGGTTGTAAGTTTGAACCCCATGATGGGTGGAGAGATTACTTAAAAATAAAATCTTTTGGGGTGCCTCGGTGGCAGTCTAGGGTCGTAGTGCCACAGGTTAAATTTAGGGGCGCATATTTAGGCACCCCTAAAAATAAAATCTTAAAAATGTGGAACACCTGGGTGGTTCAGTCAGTTAAGCCTCCGACTCTTGATCTCAGCTCAGGTCTCGATCTCAGGGCTGTGAGCTCAAGCCCCACATTGGGCTCTATGCTGGGCTTGGGGGCTTACTTAAAAAAAAAAAATGTCTTATACATTCTTTTTAAAAGTTAATTCCTGGATGTTTTACAGTTTTGTTTTTTAAGATTTTATTTATTTATTCATAAGAGACAGAGAGAGAGAAGCAGAGGGAGAAGCAGGCTTCCCGCTGAGCGGGGAGTCCGATGCAGGACTCAATCCCAGGACCCCGGGATCACAACCCGAGCTGAAGGCAGACGCTCAGTCATCTGAGCCACCCAGGCGCCCATGTTTTACAGTTGTTTTAGTGCTTTTCTTTTGTCAGTGACCTCTTATTTTCTTTATATTTTCCAGTTGGTTATTGTTGGTATAGAACACTGTTGATATTTGTATGTTAACCCTATATCTAGCTGAACTCCTTTTATTTCCAGCATTTGTCTATTGATTTGCTGTTTGCTGTGTAAATGATCACATTATCTGCAAATAAAGACAATTTAATCTCTTCCCTTTTAATTCCTTTACCTCATTTATTTTTCTTGCTTTATTGATTTAGCCAAGACGTTAAAATCCTTGATGGGCTTTCTTGTCATGTTTGTGACCATAAAGAGGATGTGGCTAAAGTTTCTTGATTAACTATGGGTTTTTTTGTTTTGTTTTGCTGTAAATTTTTGGTAAATCACCTTTTATAGCATTTCCCAGCTTAAAGAAATTCCTTTCTCTCCCGGTCTGTTCCCAGCCTACTGCCTTCAGCATCGGTAAGCCATTCTTCCTGCATGGCCTGGACCCCTCCCCAGAACAGTGTAGATCAACTTGGTAACTGCTCTGTAAGGCTTAACTGCCCTCTCAGGGTTCTCTCGACTTCTCCTGCATCTCTTCTTCAGGCCCAGGTTAGATCTGCAATTTCTCCAGCGGTTCCTGCAGATACAGAAGGTTTTGTTTCCCTCCTGGTCATCACAGAATGCCTTGATGTTCCTGACCCTGTTGTGTGTCGCCCTACTGAGTGAGTGAGTGAGCCCAGGCTACAGGGGGAGGGCAGCCTTGGTTTGGGGTCCCTTCTGTCTGGGGAGTTGATAAGGCAAGGACTCAAGGGGAAGACTCCTTGTTTTCTCTCCCTTCACCACTGACTTCGGACCCCTCTCCCCACCCCAGAACAACTGGTGATCTACCAGGTTGGCTTGATCCCCAGTCAGTACTATGGGGTCCTGGGAAACAAAGACTTGGATGGGTTTAAGACCCTGACATTCCTGGCTGTGGTGCTCATCGTTCTCAACTCCATGGTAAGGTCTCCCTGTGTTTCTCTTCCTCTCCAGCCTAGTGTAAGCACAGTGCCCACTGGGACTTAGCCACCAGGAAGCAGGAATCGAGCTGTGGGTGTGTGTTCCCTCCCTTTCTTGGAACTGGAGGTCAGAAGGGCATTGATCTTGTTATTGGGCCCAATCCCTGGGATGTTTCAGGCTCCCAGGACTTGGCCATGAGGTTCTGGTTTAAGTCAATGTTTAGCAGAAATGATCTTGTCCCTTCCATTCCCATTACTCTTGCTTCAGGGAACTCCCAAGCATTTGAAAACTGGGATCAGCAGCCAGGGGGCTATTGCTTCTCTGTGGGGCCGGTTCAGCCTGGCACTGTGTCACACCTCTCAGCCTTTGCACCTGCTCCTTTCCTGCAGAATGGCTTCCTTCCCCACCCTGGTTCACTTGGTTAATGCCTGCTTACATTTCAAGTTCTGCTGTTGTCACTTTCTTCAAGTCCTCCTTAACCTTCTTCATGTTTCCTCCACCAAACTCTGCCCTCCTCTCTGCTTAACTAATACTTTGAGTTAACCTCTGCTGTAACACTCCTCACGCCCTTGTAATTGTTGCCTTGTTAGACCGAGCTCATTGTCACTGCCTTGGACTTAGCATGTAGGTGCTCCATCAGTGGTGAACAATGAGTCAGGCCTCCGCTGGGACTCAAGCCTAATGCTCTGCCTGCCTGTATGGCCTGTTTTCTTGGGGACTCCCCTTCTCATCACACTTGGGCACTTTGGATGGGTCTTCTGGTGGTAAACACCTATGTATACAGAACTCTGTTCCAAGTTAGGGGGAACAGAAAAGTGAGAACATAAATGGCATAGAAGATATCATCCCCAATCTCCGGAAGCTCACCTGCTCTCAGGATAAGACAGTACAAAATAAAGGGGCCAGAGGCCTGTGCTTGGTGACAGAATGAGCATGGCGGGGAGGGAGGGAGGGAGGGAGGGAAGAATCCCCTGACTTGACACTTTAACCCAGAAGTGCTGAGTGGACAGAGACTTAAGCGGAGTGGGCTGGGACCAGTCAGCAGATGCACTCTGCCAGCCCTGAGCTCCTTGCTGAGATGTGCAGAAACCATCTCTCCCTCTCCCTCACTTCCTCTCGCTTCCCCACTGCACAGCTGAAGAGCTTTGACCAGTTCACCTGCAACCTGCTGTATGTGAGCTGGAGAAAGGACCTCACCGAGCACCTTCACCGCTTCTACTTCCAAGGCCGCGTGTACTACACCCTTAACGTGTTGCGGGATGACGTCGATAACCCGTAGGCGCCTCCTCTCTGTCCTCCCCACCTTCTGCAGGGTTCTGTCAGTCTGGTTCGGCCCTGGAGAGTCCCTGCGGTGGGCCCTTTGAGATCATCCACAGTTCTCTGCAAATGTTGATAAGCGCCATAGGAGAAGGGGACTCCGTGGAGGAACCCCCGAGCAGCTGCGGGGCTGAGAATAGGGCACTAAAAGATAGGAGTGGTTCCCTTTTGTCCATTTTATATCCTGTGCTTCCCAACCAGGCACCCTCTGAAGAAAGTGTCCTTGCTCGCAAACCAGCTCTTGGATTTTCAGCAGTAAAAAATTATTGCTGCCCAGGACTCAGTGTAAGATTCAGATCTTCATTCTGTCACCTCCCAGTTGACAAGCCTTCGTTCACTGAGCCTCAGGTTCCCTTTCTGGAAAATGGGGATGATAGTTCCTATCTCAGTATCTCAAAGGATATTCATGCAATGCACATGTGCGGTGCCTGGCACATAGCAAGTGTCCCAGTGTGAGTTAGCGCTGGTTATTTTATAGGTGAGGAAACTGAGGCCCAGAGAATGCAAGTGACTTGTCCAAAGTCATGTCTCTCATTGGAAATGGGAGTCAGTGTGGCCCCAGTAGTGCAGTGGGACATATGGGGTCTCTCCTCACACTCATTCCCTCTCCACTCACCACCCCCACGCACTTTTTTGCCTACGGTGACCTTTTGTCAGCTCAAGCTGAGCTTTGTGGCAAAGATTCTTGGGATTCCTGTTGCCTCTTATCTTCTAGGCTTCTCCATGACTCAACCCATATGAAGCTTCTGCAGCCAGATAGCTAAAATGGGGGCAGGCTCAGGTTCGCAGAAGAGATTGGGAGGAGCCAGAGAGAGGGCATAGCTTTCTGGCCCATCCAGAAACTCAGCTCTTCTACCCTCGGGTTGTTCTCTGGTGCTACTTAGAACTGGCTCAGGACCCCTGGGTACTGGCCCTTTGATTTGCTACTTTTCCAGAGGGGTAAACTGAGGCACCCTAAGAAGCAACTCTTTAGAACCCTGTTTAAAGGTCCTAAAGGTCTTAGTGCCTCTAGGAAAAGCAGCGCTTATCAGGGTCCATCTTCCCCCGGGGTCGTGGCTAACAGTGCTGAAAGGCAAGGTCAGAGTAAGAGGTAACCTCTCAGCTCGCTCCACCCTTCGCACCCCGCTCCCTGCTCCAGTTGCTCTGTTGTTGGCTCCAGGGACCAACGCATCAGCCAGGATGTGGAACGATTCTGCCGACAGCTCAGCAGCATGGCCAGCAAGCTGATCATCTCCCCCTTCACCCTCATCTACTACACCTACCAGTGCTTCCAAAGGTGAAGCCTCTCCTCCCCCATCCCACCCCCCAGGTGTTTCCCCCCAAGGTCCCTCACTTACACGAGCTCCCCTAGGTCAGGGTCCAGAAGAGGCTGGTCTTCCTCCCTCCTGCCTGCAGCCCAGGAAGGCTTCCTGTGTCCTGTGCTCGGGCCCCTGCCCTTTGGACATGTGGCGTTTCAGTGTCACAGGGGTCCTGGTATCTGACAACCTGGACCAGGTGCCTGCTGCCCCCACAAAGGAGCAGAGGTCCCACAGGACTGCTGGCTGAGATTGGACGAGGGCTGCTTGAAAGAGCAAGAAGCAGGGCTGAGGCCTGCGGGGATATGTGACACCCCCCACCCTCCCTCTCTCTGCTTTCCAGCACGGGCTGGCTTGGGCCTGCGAGCATCTTCGGGTATTTCATCCTGGGAACCCTTGTGAACAAAATGTTGATGGGGCCCATTGTGGCAAAGCTGGTGCAGCAGGAGAAGCTGGAGGGGGATTTCAGGTATGTCTCCCTTGCGTGAGGTTTCTGGGCCGAGCATAATGGTTAAGGAATGGGATCTCGAGTGAGACAGCCTCATTCGAGTCCCAGCCTGTGCTAGTTAATAGCCATGTGCTCTTGGGTGAGGTCTTGAACCTCCCTAAACTTCAGTTTTCCCATCTCTAAAATGGGGATGGTACTGTTGCCTGCAGAGGGGATTGTGAGGAGCATTATTGAGATTCTAGGTGAGAAGCAGCGAGAACGGTGTCTGGTTGGCCATCATCATCCCTTGGTCTTCTCATGTGCTTCTGTTCCAACCTTCCTGTTTTGGCTCAGCCAATAGATCCAGCCCCTGCACTGTGCTGCTTGGCCTCCTACTTCAGGTTGGGCCCTGGAAGGAGGTGGTGTGGGCAGGAATGCACCTGTCCTCTGGGGAGGTGAGGGGTCGTCCTGTCTGCAGGGCTCCTGCCACCCCACCCAGGCCCTGTGACAGCTCAGGGAAGGGCTGGGCCTTTTGAGGTGGAGCCAGGTTCCTCTTCATCTGGAGATCTTCCTGGTCCAGGCTAGAGAAAGGAGAAGGGCCAGTACTGCCCGTTGTCAACACACATTTGCCTTTGGTCTGCCCAGGTTCAAGCACATGCAGATCCGGGTGAATGCTGAGCCTGCTGCTTTTTTCAGGTGAGTCAGGTGGGGATCGTTTCCTTCTGCCTCATCAGAGCTGATAGTGGAGATGGCAGAAAAGGAAAGACGAATTGTACGGCCTGCCCACCATCACCGAACCCTGGGGCTGAGCATCCTTACACTTGGCTATGACCCTCACCCCATGTCTCTCACTGTCCTAGTTTGCCTCATCCTTAGGTCCAGGGATTTGCTTCTGAAGCTGGTTGTTCCTTCTAGTGACCCAGCAGGGGGCCTAAATTTGTTCCAAGAATGAAACGAGTGAATGATTCTCGTCTTGGTGAGGACTATAAGCCATTGCCTCTGCCTGTTTTTCCATCTACAAGATGGCTTTCTGCCAGTGCCTGATGGCCGGTCAAAGTCTCCAAGACTGATCCTTTGTCTCTGTAGGATGGGAGGGAAAGGAGGCCTCAGGAGATCAGGAGACCTGCTCCCCACAAACACTGTCCAAGTAGAACAAAGTGTCTGATCTCCTGATAGCAACATTGTGAAATCTCCTGCCTTCCCTCAGGGTCAGGATAGGTCCCTGGGCCCTGCCTTCTGTGGGACCTCTGGAGTCATTGTTTGGCCCCAGAGAGAGAACTCAGGCCCCAGAGGTGTGTGTTTAAGGAGTGGAAGCTGCTCTTGGGTCACCTGGCTCTAATAACCCTGGGACCTTTGCACTTGTCTGTCTTTGCTGCATTTTGCAGCTCCCACCACTTGAGGGCGCCAAGAATACTAGGAATCTATGAGGTGGGGTCTGGTGTGGCGGTAGGGCTGGGCCTGTGCTAAGTGCTTTTGGATTCTGCAGCCTCTCGTGAAGTTCTGGGCTCTGGGGAAAGCAGGTTTGTTCTTGGAGCTCCAGATGCGTTCTTTCCTGGCTTCTCTGTCCCTCTAACACTTTCCATGTGCCAGGGGAAGAATGCAGTGCATCTGCCTGCCCCCCTAAACTGGGAGCTCAAGGACAGGGACTATTTTATCCCCTTGTTTATCTCACTGGCTAACCAGCACAGAGCCTGCCACCGAGCACCTGCTCTGTGTATAGTCGCTTAATAATAACAGCTGTTATTTTTTAAGGGTCCCTCTTTTGCCTGGCACTTTCTGTTTAGAAATTCTCTAACTTATTTTGTAGGTCTGATTAGCCCCATTTTACCGAGGAAGACACTGAGACTCTGAGGCTTAAGTAACATTAGTCACCCAGCTAGTAATTGGCCAGAGCCAGGATTTGAGCCAGATCTGCCCAATCTAGAGTTCATGTTCTCTCCCCAGACGATACTGTGCTGAGTAAATGAAGCAGTGAATGGATGCTAGTGGCAGAAAGGGTCTGAGATGAAGACCATTTGGATATAGGCTTGGTCCCCAAAGGAGAGTGTGATGAGGGCTAGAGGGTCCCCCGGCCCGGCTGAGGCTTTCCAGGCTCCATCAACATCCCAACCTTTCTCGTCAGAGCTGGGCACGTGGAGCATGTGAGGACAGACCGCAGGCTGCAGAGACTCCTTCAGACCCAGAGGGAGCTGATGTCCAAGGAGCTCTGGCTGTACCGTAGGTGGAGGGAGCCCGGGGAGGCGGGAACCCCGGGAGCGGGATCGTCTCCTTCCCTCCCCGAACCTCCTTCTCTCTGCACTAGTCAGTTTGCCGTGATGAAGGAATTCACCATGGGGAGCCACTGTCTTTGCCTCGAGTGTCCTCGGGAGAATAAGGCTCTGGGGAATAGCTTGGTCCTACTTGGCGTCCTCTTCCCTCAGAGCACATCGGTGCTTCCTGGGTCTCTTACCCTCGGTGTTTCTGCCTTCTGCAGTCGGTGTCAACACATTCGACTATCTGGGCAGCATCCTGAGTTATGTTGTGATCGCCATCCCTATTTTCAGTGGTGTCTATGGAGACCTGAGCCCCACAGAGCTCAGCACTCTGGTCAGCAAGGTGAGGCTCCCTCCTGGTGACCCCTCATGCCGTCCCCTCTGCCCTCGGCCCGGCGCCTCGGAGTCCGGGCCGGGGCTCACTGCTCGCTGTCCCGTGCAGAATGCCTTTGTGTGCATTTACCTCATCAGCTGCTTCACCGGCCTCATCGACCTCTCCGGCACGTTCTCAGATGTGGCTGGTTACACACACAGGTGAGGCTGCGTCCTGCCCCTCCAGGTCCTGAGCAAAGCGGGTGCCGCTGGGAGAAGTAGCCAAATGAAAAAAGGAACAGAAAAGCCATATGGCAGTGGGTGTGAGAGAGAAGGAGGAATGCGTTCACCTGGGCCCCCAGGCCCACCTCAGGTTTTCACTTCTTGCCCAGAATCGGGGAACTTCAGGAGACCCTGCTGGACATGTCCCTGAAGTCGCGGGGTGGCGAGGTCCTGGACGAGAGCGAGTGGGACGTGGACAGGTGGGTGCTGGGCTGGCAGGGCAGTGCCATGGTGGGCGTGCCCAGCGGGTGGCAGAGTTGTGCAGAGCAGATGCCAGGCCTCTCTGCCTGGTGCCGGGCACACCACAGGTGTTCCCAGGCAGGGGTGCTGTTCTGGCATCTGTTGTCACCTACACCTTCCCCCAGCTGCGGGAAGCACGGTGCCCACTCCTGCCTGGGCCCGAGATGACAAATCAGAAATCTGAGCAGTCTGCCTCCCACTGAGCCCTGCCGCCTGCCCCTTTCCTCGGGGCCTGCCTGTTCTCTGTTCCCCAGGCCTCGCTAACCCTCACACGTGGCTTTACTCGTGTCTCCTGTGTTTGTTTGTTTGTTTGTTTAATTATATTTATTTATTTGAGAGAGAGAACACGAGTGGAGGGGCGTGGCAGAGGCAGAGGGAGAAGCAGGCTCTTCGCTGAGCAGGGAGCCCGATGCGGGGCTCGATCCCAGGACCCTGAGACCGTGACCTGAGCTGAAGGCAGACACTCAACGGACTGAGCCACCCAGGCGTCCCTTTACTCATGTCTCCTTGCATGAGTTGTGATGTTTCTGGCCTTTCTGTGCACTGAGGATTGGTTTCATGTCCTCACTTTCTTGGGCTAATTACTCAACTGTTCTGTGTCTCTGTTTCTTCATCGCTGTGAGGGGAACGGTAATGGAACCTTCCTCTTAGGATGGTTGTGAGGATTAGCTGTCACAGTCTGTGGAAAGTGCTTGGACAGGGGCCACAGAGTAAGCTTTCAAAAATGGAAACAGCCTGTGTTCCAGGGCCTACACACAACTCCCTTCTGAGGGACTAAAGCCTTAACTGTTGCCCCCGTTCAGAATTCAGCCTTTGTGCAGCTGTGGGCCTGGGGCTGGGGAGATGGTGCGGCGACCGTAGGAGACCAGAGGTGCTGTTCTCCGGGGGAAAGGGGCGTCTGTGCCAGAGCCAGAAACTCCAGGTCCCTTTCCGACCACCACGCCCATCCTGTCACAGGCCCTGCTCACACGCGCTGTGCACACCCACCAGGGTTAAGGTTAGACAGCTTCAGCTCCGTGACCCTGAGGGAGTTACTGAGCCGCCTGACTTGGTTTCCCCCTCTGCCAAGTAGGGATGATGTTTGTGATCCGTTGGTGTTAAAGCTGATCAAGATCAGTCACGGCGGGGCTTTGCACAGCCTGGCACAAAGTAGGTGCCCTCGGCCCTACCTCTGTGTTCGTGTGCCCGAGCTGCCGTAACAAAATACCACAGACTGGGTTGCTTATCCAAGACATTTATTTTCTCACAGTTCTGGAGGCTGGAAGTCCAAGATCAAGGGTTGGTTTCTCCTGAGGCCTCTCTCCTTGGCTTGCAGATGGCCGTCTTTCTCCGTGTCCTTTTCTAGCCTCTTCTCTGTGGAGGAGCATCCCTGGTGTCTCTCCCTCTTCTTAGAAGGCCGTCAGCCATATTGGATTAGAGCTCTCCCCTGATGGCCTCATTTTAATGCCATCATTTCTTTAAATACTTTCTCTTCAAATGCAGTTACATTCTGAGGTACTAGGGGTTGAGACTTCAGCCTGTTATTTTGAGAACACAGTTTAGCCCATAACCCCCCTGTCCAGAGGTGAGGCCCCCGAGAAGAAGACCCTGCCCCCCAGTGGTACTGACGCTTCTTCTCTCCCCTCATCTTCTGACCGCAGGGCCCCAGAGTGGCCGGTCGCAGAGCCAACAGACACAGCTTTTCTCCTTGAGCGGGTCTCCATCTGTGCCCCCTCCTCTAATAAACCCTTAATCAGGGATCTGAGCCTGAGGATCTCTGAGGGGCAGAGCCTGCTCATCACAGGCAACACGGGCACGGGCAAGACGTCATTGCTCCGGGTTCTCGGCGGCCTCTGGGCAAGCACACGGGGTGAGAGCCAGCCCTCCCTGCCTCTGAGCCAGCCTTGGGCCGGTGGGATGCGTGTGCGCGCGTGCAGGTGTGTGCATGTGCGCACATGTGCGTGCGTGTGTGTAAAAGTCCAGGCCTTTTTGTTGGGGAGAGGAAATGAGAGGCACTTACTTTGTCTGGGAGATCTCAAAATGGAGGTTTCTGTGGGCCCTGCAGGCTCAGTGCAGATGCTGACAGACTTTGGACCCCATGGGGTGCTGTTCCTGCCACAAAAGCCATTCTTCACGGATGGGACCCTTCGGGAGCAGGTCAGCCTGGGGCCCGCACCTACCTCTGGCTACCGGAGACCTCTGGCAGTCTGACAGGTTTCAGCTCTAGAAAGTTATGGGGCAGAAGGTGGGGTAGTAAATGGCTCCTGCCCAGGAACTCCCTGGTTCTACGAACATTTTACTCACTTCCGTGGATTGGGCCATGTAGTTAGAGCAGCTCCTGGGGGCAGGTTAACCTGTGGGGGCCGAAACCAAATACCACATATATTTGTTGGCCGCCAAGGTTGGATTCTGGACGCTGTGTCCTTAGGAGGCTCACAGACTCTTTCCCCTCAGACACACATCTGACGTTTGCAGTGACCCTGTCCCACTGTCTGCTGTCCCCGGCTCTCCCACTGGACCCTTGGCCGGGCTGGTCCTTACCATCCTCAGGTGGAGAGGAGCCTGGCCTCTGGCAGTTCCTGGGACTGTATCCTCCTGGGGAGGATAGGCTTTGTGCAGCACTGCCTCTCATTGGCCCTCATCTTGGGCCTGTGTGGTTTTGTTTTATCAGGTGATATATCCCCTGAAGGAAATCTACCCGGACTCAGGTGAGCTGGGCCTCCTTGGGGCATGTCCTCCCATCTAAATTGCCCCTGCTCTGCCTGATTAGGGCCTCGCCAGTGCCTTTTGGCAGAGGTTCCAGCAAGGCTGCTGGTTTGAGGGAGTTTTCTTCTCCTTCAAGTGTTTACTATTTTGGGGTCTGTACCCTGACCTCGTCTTGTTCTGTCTTCCCCTCCTTGAGGAGAGACCCCCATTGGAGGAAGGGAAGGGACTGCTTCCTTCGCCTGGCCCTTCCTTTGTGTATTAAGTGCTGTAACCCTGTCACTGCAGAGCTTTAGCCCAGATTCTGGCACCCCCCCAGCCCTACCCCCTTCCACGATGTACCCCCTCTCTTCTGGCTGCCCAGAGGAACGGACTTCTTGAAGAAGGCTTGTCTGTTTTGCAGGTTCTACTGATGATGAGAGGATCATGAGGTTCCTGGAGCTGGCAGGCCTGGTGAGTGTGGGCAGGGACGCTGAGGCCCAGGCCCACCTGGTAGCACTGACCACAAGGGCTGGTCCAGCAGAGCCGGCATAGCGCCCGGGGCCCAGGACCGGAAGTGGGAGCCTGGACCGCGGGAGTGGGAGTAGAAAGTGGTGAGGGGAGCGGTTGGCCAGGTGCAGGCAACCAGGGGGTGCATTCTTTTTTTTTTTTTTTTTTAAGATTTTATTTATTTATTTGAGAGAGAGAGAATGAGAGAGAGCACGAGAGGGAGGAGGGTCAGAGGGAGAAGCGGACTCCCCGCCGAGCAGGGAGCCCGATGCGGGACTCGATCCAGGGACTCCAGGATCATGACCTGAGCCGAAGGCAGTCGCTTAACCAACTGAGCCACCCAGGCGCCCCAGGGGGTGCATTCTCTGCATCGACTTTTTTTTTTTTTTAATTATTTATTTATTTATTAGAAAGTGATCAGGAGAGAAACAGCATGAGAGGGGAGAGGGTCAGAGGGAGAAGCAGGCTCCCCGCTGAGCCGGGAGCCCGATGTGGGACTCGATCCCAGGACCCTGGGATCATGACCTGAGCTGAAGGCAGTCGCTTAACCAACTGAGCCACCCAGGCGCCCTCTGCATCGACTTTTAAAATGATAATAAAACTAAGTCTGCTTAGGAGATGCAAACAGTATAGTTGATAGGATAGTCCCCCCTGCGGGGCACGGGTCGCTCCCACAGCCCCTGCCAGGGCTGTAGCTGCCTCAGAGGTGTGTGTGGAGGGGTGGCAGGAAGCAGGGATGGGCCCTCTCACAGACAGCATTCCCTCTGGGTGTGTTACAGTCCAGTTTGGTGACCAGGACAGAGGGTCTGGACCAGCAAGTTGATTGGAACTGGTAAGAAGGGAGCCGGGTGCTCCAGAGCCAGCTCCCCCCCCAACACACAGTGGGTTCCAGGTGTTTTTACTGGCCCATCAGGGGCATGTTCATGCCCTCGGGAGCAGCGTTTTGGCCTCACCTCATGTGGGCAGCCCATCTCATGATGGGCTGGACTGTGGTTGAAAGGGGAGGGTGATGTCAGTCTGTCCCGGGACCAGCCTCTCTGCCCCAAGAACCTCTTCTTGCTTAGACCCCATTCTATACAAAAGCCAAGCCATATCCTCCTTCCTCTAGCGGTCCTTTCACTCCCATTCCTCAGGTATGATGTTCTGTCCCCAGGAGAGATGCAGAGGCTCTCCTTTGCCCGGCTCTTCTACCTGCAGCCAAAGTATGCAGGTGAGGTCTGCCCCGGCAGTGCGCATGCCCGGTACTGTGTGCTCACGGGGGGGTGTGTGTGTGTGTGCCACGTGTAACCACGGGGGCGTTCAGACACGGAGGAGAGCACCCCTGTGCGTGGCCGGGCATCTCTGTCCCTGCAGGGGAGGATGCCAGGGCTCTACCCTTGCGGCAGCAAGGTTGGCATCCCCAGATCAGCTCGGGATGTGTTACACCACGCATTCTGGAGCATTCTGCCATGGCAGCAGCTGGAGCCAGCCTAAAAAGCTTGCGATTTTATGCTCCTGAGCCTCTGCTGTCAATAAGCGGGCAACACCCCCAGCTGTGCCTGGCGGAGGGATGGCAGGTGTGAACTTCAGGGACTGGCGTCCTTGGGGGAACTAAGAAGCGCTGGTTTGAGCGCTTCTAGGAAGTGCTGGTGCTTACTCTAGGAAGCCGGAGGATTTCATCCTGCCGCTGGTAGAAGGCTTCCCAGGTGGAGCCTCGCCCTCTGCTCTTTTGGCCTGCTCTTCCTGTGGCAGGGCTCCTGTAAGCCAGAGCCGCTTCCAGCCAGCCTTGCCCTGGGTCCCAGGCAGACAGAGGTGAGCGTGGTTTGGAGAGGCAGAAGTGGGCCAGGGGCAGGAGCCAATCTCTTCCCGCCGGATTCTGTCCTCAGTGCTTGATGAAGCCACCAGTGCCCTGACCGAGGAGGTGGAGAGCGAGCTCTACCGCATTGGCCAGCAGCTGGGCATGACGTTCATCAGCGTGGGACACCGACATAGCCTCGAGAGGGTACCCAAGCTCGTAGAGATGGCCTGAGGAGGAGGAAGAGCCCAGAGGCTGGGCCTGACGAGAGCCAGGGGCCCTTCAAAATGGGGACTGGGGGTGGCGGAGAGGGCAGGGGAGGGATGGCCTCCCGTTGGCTATGGCCAGCGTGGCCTGATCTGCGTCGTGCTGGTCTCTTGCAGTTTCACTCCTTGGTTCTGAAACTCTGCGGAGAAGGAAGATGGGAACTGACCAGAATCAAAGTGGAGTGAAGCCAAGGGTGTGGCTGGCCCCTGGAAGAAGTGCCCAGCTCGGGGCAGATCGGCATTCTCCCGGAGAGACCGGGGGACGGGGGGGCCTGTGAGGCACGGGAGATCCCTGGCTCGCCTCCCAGGCCCTGTGCAGGGGGCACTGGCAGCAGGGGGGGCCCGGCCGGGGTGCAGCTCGCTGCGGGGCACCCAGTCCCGCCAGGGCGCCTCCTGCCGCCTCAGCCAGAGCTCCCTGCACTCGGGGTGCCGATTGCTTACAAACAGCCTCAGATCGTGTTTTCTAAAGAAAAACCTGAAAGTGTGGGATCTGTGAGAAATGTAGGGTCATTGTGGAGAGAATATTGGGCTTAAAGTCACGCAATCCAGAAATCTTTTAAATCCATTGAATTTTGTAGCCATAGATTTTTTAACTTTAATCGACAAATATTTAACTTTTATAACTTTTTTAAAAAGATAAACATTTCTTACAAATTGCAGCCTTCTTTCTTTCTTTTTCTTTTCCACTGTAAGGTGACCTTTTAAATTGAATCCACAGACTTGTATTTGGGAGCCTGGGAGGAAGGGAGATGCACTCTCCATTGTACTGGAAACTTCTGCGCCTGGTTTTTCACTTCACTCCACACCTGCGCTTTCCCTTTGCCCGTTGTACCTGAGTCACTAACCTCTAGGGCCCTTCTGTTTTTCTTGTCCTAACCCAGGTAAAAATAAATCTCTTTCCCTTTAGTCAACTAAAATAAGGTCAGAGATTTTTCAAAAATAATCTTTGTGAGGAAACAGCAACAACGAGAGGAACAGACAAAACCCAGAAAGCACGGAAACTTAAGATGGAAACGATTTGAGCCCAAAGCCCTTATTCTAGAACAGTGTTACCCAAAGTTGAGTTGTCAGTGCAGCACGTTCATGATTTTTGCCAGATCTCTGTACCTCTTGTACTGTGAATTACTTAATATTTTTTAAATTAACTCCCCCCTTTTTTTTTTTAAGATTTTATTTATTTATTTGACAGAGAGAGAAAGCACAAGCAGGGGGAGCGGCAGGCAGAGGGAGAAGCAGGCTCCTGCTGAGCAGGGAGCCCAACACGGGGCTCAATCCCAGAACCCAGAGATCATGACCTGACCCGAAGGCAGATGCCCACCCAACTGAGCCACCCAGGCGTCCCAATTAACTCCTTAAACCTAATTGTTGTTTTTTTAAATTTACGCTTGATATAACTAGAATGTAACTCTAAAAGTGAACGTAAACCAGGTTACAAAATTGCAGTTTGATACTGTGCCTGCAGAGAGTCTGAGCCTGAGGCTTGCTCTCTCTGTACAAAGGGAGGTTAAGGGATGTCGTGGGGGGAATTAGACGTACGGGCACACAAGTGAGAATTTTCTCCTGAATAAAGTTAGAAACCGGGAATGGGAACTGCTCAGGAAGGAACTTTCTCACTCTAAGACTTGAGGTTATTTACTGCCTTGGTACCCTGCTGAAAATGATGCCAGATGTGGGGTGGGGAACTGGGGAAGTGCTGTCTGCAGGGTAACGCCCCCTGGCGGCTTGGCTGGCCCGCAGGCCTGGAGCCTGTTCTTCCCCAGCTCCACCGTGTTGGGGCGCTAGCGCAGCGCACCCGGGTGCCTTGCTGAGAGCCAGGTCTGATGGCGGGTCAAGTCCCCGGTGAAGCCTCCTGAGGGGCCTGCAGGATATCAGGTCTACAAAGGTCCGTGGCAGCCCTGTAGCCAGTGTCCAACCCTCTGACAAGGCTGGAGGGACCATCAAGGTTGGCATCTGCTCCGAGAGCTGTCCCATCCTTGAATCTCCCAGCTGCATCCTGCCAAGCGGCCTTCTGGCTTCTGGTCAAACACAGCTAGCTAGCGCTGGAGACCACCCATCCTCGGACCCCTCTGCTGAAGAGAGCTCTTGCTTAGGTTAAGGGGAAACCTGTCTCCCTGAGGATTAAGGATTCCCCTGACTCCCACCCCTTGGGTACGTGTGTTAAATCGTGGGGGCTGGGTGTGGAAGGACCCCCTCAATAGTTTAATTTCTGTACTTTTTTCAATGTAGCTGAAGCTCCCGCCAGCCTTTTTGTTGACCGCATCACCTTATTGACCTGCTTCCTCCTCACTAGACCCTGGAGCTCCCAAGCCTTCCTGCAGATGCTGCTGCCAGCCGATGACTTGAGAGACCGAGTTGGTGACTAACTCGGGGTCTTGGTATTTGCTTTTCCTCCACCTCAGACATGTTTCAAGTGCTGTTTCTGTTTTGAATGCCCAGGGTTCTCCCTTGCAGAAGCTCTGCCAGGAGAAAGCTGTTCTTAGGGGCAGACCCCGCCTTTGCCCATCATTCATCTCAGGTATGGAGGCTACTGAGAGTTTTGGATGAATCCATACACACCTGCATAGAAGTCAGGTTATGTGTCCTCAGTATAGAACAAGGACAAAATGTTTATTTTAAATGTTTCCAAATCAACCAGGCAAATAATTTCCCAAACTTAAATCTCATTCTACCACTCAGGGAACTACACAGACCCAGTGGATGGAACATAGAAACGTTATTCTGTCCCTTTGTCACTCTCCTGAGGAGTCCTAGGTCTGTGGGATGCAGCAGAAAAGCAATCTTTTGTCATCGCCATCACATGTCTGCTTACCATAGCGATGCTTCCTAACATGGTCTACAGTTTAAATGCAATCCCTATCAAAATCCCAATGGCCTATTTCTGCAGAAATGGGAAAGTTGATCCTAAAATTCCTATGGAATTGCAAGGGATCTCAAATAGGCAAAACAATCTTGAAAAAGAACAAAGTTGGAGGACTCACAATTTGAGGTTTCAAAAATCACTTCAAAGCTATGGTAATCAAAACATTGCAGTATTCGTATAAAGAGAGACATGCCGTTCAATGGAATAGAATTAAGAGTACAGAAATAAACCCATACATCTACAGTCAAATGATTTTTGTCAAGCGCCAAGACCATTCAATGGGGAAAACCAGTCTCTCTGACAAATGGGGCTAGAAAACGATATCCACATGCAAATGAAGAAAAGTGAGCCCTTACCTTATACCAGGTTAAGTTAAGAAGTTAAAATGAATGAAAACTGAATTTAAGAGCTAAGACTAAATAGCTCTTAAGACATAAGGCAGGGCGCCTGGGTGGCTCAGTTGGTTAAGCGACTGCCTTCGGCTCAGGTCATGATCCTGGAGTCCCGGGATCGAGTCCCGCATCGGGCTCCCTGCTCAACAGGGAGTCTGCTTCTCCCTCTGACCCTCCCCCCTCTCATGCTCTCTGTTTCTCATTCTCTCTCTCACAAATAAATAAAATCTTAAAAAAAAAAAAATTAAAAAAAAAAAAAGACATAAGGCAGTCTTCATGACCTTGGATCTGGCAATGGTTTCTTAAATACGATGCCCAAAGCACAAGCAACAAAAGAAAAACATTGGACTTCAAAATTAAAGCTTCTGTGCATCAAAGGACACTATGCAACCAATGATTGTGTTTGTTCTAACCTGTCTAGGGCTAGGAAGACTGACACAAGGTGCTCGTCTCTGTTTTGCCTGACTCGAACTCACTCACTGGGCAGAAAAGTATTGGGCATTGCTCAAAAACTTGGTAAGGTGCACAAAACCTGTAGCCACCTGAAGCAAAAGATTATGCTTAAGACATAAAATAGACCACCTAAAGCCTGCAAAGAAATGCTGGGGAGAGTTTCTTTAGGACATTAGAGTGTTCAAAAGTGACCTCATGTACTAGGGAGTTTAGAAAGCGACATGCATGGCCCGAATAGGATGCATGCTCAGAAAAGACCTGAGAAGACCCTGAGCTTTCCTTTCTGGCTGGTCTCTTGGCTCAGTCCAAGCAGGAAGTAAAGGCTAAGGTAGAGTTAAAAGAGCTAAACTGGCTGTGTTAAAGAGTACCCCAGCACAGAGTCAGTCTGGGAAGACAGAGATAGAGGTTTTGGTTATTTGGGGTCCTGGTACTCAAGG